ACACACACAGATACCATATGAATGTGAGATTACTTTTAAGATACATTATTGTTAAGGTAAAATAAACACACACGAATTTCCCCGAGGTGGTCGTCGTGATGATTTCCGGCTGCCGGGAGAATATGTATGACGATTAAACTAATGTACGAAGAAAGAAAAGAGAAAAGAGTACTTTACTGAGTACGTTTACAAAGCGCGCGACTTTTTCGGCTTAGTATTAATCGCGAATCCAGAAAGGATGTTCTACTATCTATCTTACCTGCTAATTTTGATATACTCGCTGCCATTGTATCGGTCAACGAATGTTGCGTTAACGTCGCTGCCCATTCCGAGTCCATTTTTTGAACGAGTTGTTTGCTACCTCAGCGTAATATCTATGAAAATTCTAAAAGTTGGCCGCGCGTTGACGATGCCAACCCTTACGCTTCTCTCTGACATGTATTTATTGTACGTGAATATTGAGAATTTCTTATACTCTTCACAAAATATATTTATATATTAATTTCTACAAGCGTATACCCTCTCCTTCTCTCTGTCTTGTGTCTCGGAAATTTCTATTGTGTTTTACGAAACGCTATATATCGACTTTGCAAGAAAAACAAATGATACTCGAAAAAATAGAAATCTAACGTTTTACACTTTCACGACATTCTATATTCGACTAGGTAATGTCTCTAATCAATCACAATTTACTATTATACCGGTGTCATTGACTATAAGTAAATATGTAAACGTATTCAGTACATAATCTTTATGTCTAGTTTGAAGCAGTAGTTAAGCGTGAAACCATCACAGCCTGAGATTCCACCATTCTATTCTTTGTACTTGCGAAAAAAGAAAAAGACCGAGATTACCGTATCTTTATTTGCGATAATAGATAATAGATAATAGATAATTTTCTGCGTTCGATATCGATATAATAGATTACTATCAGTGTGATTTTGTTTGTTTATGATCACTCTTTGTCTCGAGAGCTTAGACTAAGTTAAGTTTCTTTTTACATCACTATGATTCGTCTTCCAATGTTGCAAGCACGCTTCATGGACTTCGCGGAATCTCTCTATTATTTGTATGTGTGTCACATATATACTTATATGTATGTTTGATTATACAAAAATGTACAGTGTACATAAAGTACATCCCTGGAGCATGTGATATTTTATATACATATATATATATATATATATATATTTATTATACATATATATATATATATATATATATATATATATATAAAATATATATACGTTATATATAAAATTATATAATTATTAATTATATAATATATATAATTATTATAATTATATATGTATATATGTAGTCACATGCACTTCAGATGTATTTATATACATGTATATATACGTACATACATATATAGATATATATCACACGACAGATGTATTTTTCTCGCACACTTGTTCCAACGAAATAGAGATATATGCGATATATATGTATATATGCGATACATATGTACTACACCAATAGGGGTGATGGTGACACGTGGTCGCGATAATTAATAACGTTTCCGTCTGTAAAAATTAGGACCAGCGCGGGCAAATCTCGCGTGATCTAGATTATTACGCGTGGTATATCGTTTTATTTTAACAAATTGCGTATTAACAACCTGCACTCTTACAAAAAAAAAAAATAAGTAGAGTAATCGCAAAAAAAGTAGAAATCGACCGTTAATCGTTATCTCGTAGCATAGATTGCGATCGCGATCGCGAGAGGTGCCCGCGTTGCTCTGCGACACACAAAAACCAAGTGGAATCCATCCAGAAGCTTCGCTTACGGTGATTGTACTTCAGAAACGTAGGTGAAGGTGTGCCTATCTTTTTATGAGAGTTTAAATAAGTGAGAAAAAGAGCACGCAAGAGACGTACACGCGAACCTATCTATTTAGCCGTTAACATAAACGTAACGAGAGACATCGTTTTTTCCTTGTGTGAAAAAAGTGTTGTGTCACAAGTTTTGATCTCGTTGTAGACTAAGAAAAGAGGAAACAAGGAAACCAAGAAACCTGAGCAGCAGTTGAGCGAAGAAGATGTAGGTATCGAAATATTTCGATTATAAAGAGATGGGCGCACAACCATAGTATTTAACTGTACCTAATGTCGTAGTGAGTTAAAAAAAAAACAAGATGAAAAAAAAGCATAATTGTACCTATTAAACAGAAAAAACAGTTCACGTATCTCTTTAAGGTAATAATAATACGACGGTAAAAGATGAAGAGACAACAGCGGGTGTGAAAGAAATCATCGGTCGTCAAATAATGGAATTGCCATCAACTATCGTCCGACACATCGCGGCACCGTATATTTTGTAGACATTCGATTCATGTGATCTACTAAGTATTTCTAAGTATTTCATATGCGCCAGCATAGATTTTAGAGGAGACGGGGGAGAACGAAGGAACAATCGCGTCAAGACGTGATATACGCGGATATACAGTGTGATATAATGACGCGCGGACATTATTTCTTAAGTTATCGCTTCTTTCTTTTCCAACGGAATTTGGCGAACCAAAAGTCACGGTAATAACCATGTTTATATGTCCTTATATCCTTGTTTCGTTTTTACTTGATTTTAATGCTGCAGTAAAACGTTAGTTTTATTAACGCTTTACCGCAGATATTCGACACACCTGTTTCGTGTATCGCCCTGGCTTAAATCTTGTGGAAATTTGAAGAACACTTATATCGTTACACTTGGATATATTTATATTTGAATTTAATTTGAATGTAATTCCAGAGAGAAAAATTGCCGCGATTATTGTGTCTTAAGTATTCAATCGTCGATTTCAACCGTATTGATTGATATGCGTCTATTTCAAATTCTTACTATTTAAAAAGTGGAACGACGCATAACAGGTGTGACGGATTTTTCAATTTACCTGAAGCTTGAACAAAAGGGTGAAAATATGTAGACACCGAGAAAGAGTCACCCCTAATCGCGCCGCGATCGGGTTAACAAATCTTAAAGAGAATGAAACGACGAAAGAGAACGGGTAATATATAAGTGTCGTAAGTTCGCAAGACCTCACACATTCGTTTTCCTGCTATTTTTGTAACGCGACGTAAGATGATTGACAACGGCGAGCAATAAATCGGTAGAAGAAACAAGACAGAAAGAGAGCAGAAGGAACATCGAGCTAAAAAAAATATGATGATTATACGCAAATTGTGACATCGATTTTTGCACAAAAAGAATATCATCTCTTCTTATCTTTCTATCTCTCTCTCTCTCTCTCTCTCTCTCTCTCTCTCTCTCTCTTTTTTCTTTCTCTCTTCTGTGATTATGTAGAATTTTTCCGTTGATTTGAGCGTTTTTCTCAATGATAGCTGTTCTGTATACCGAATTGCGAGAAAAAACTGTTCGTTTCTTCATTTATTCTATATTGTAGTTTGGTAAAAACGAGATAGAAAGTGTTCATCTTGTGAGAAATAGCGTGAGAAAACATCACGATACTGCGTTTCGCTATTTTCCGATACGAAATGCGAGAGATATGTGATCAGAACTACATAGAGACGGAGTTATCTCAGTGTTACAGGAAACAACGTCAACATCTTGCCATTAAGGATATCTTTTTACCACGATCGCTTTTTCGTTTCAATTGCAGAATTGCAAGCGAAGAACATCACGTGTTTGATACTTGAAGGCCAAGTCGCATCGGCAGATCGGTTAGCATCTTCGTGAATGAATCTATCGTTCAAAGCGCAAAAATGGATGGATTTGTGAGTTGCAAGTATAACATTGATTTAACTCGTCCCTCACTGGAGTTCCAGTTTTTTAATTTAGGTGAATTTAGCCGATCACGTTTGGTCCTAAACGATGTCGATGAGACCGGTCTTGAAAGTCCAGATTCACTCGGATGATGCGGACAAGTTGCGAGTGTGTACCGATATATATATATATATATATATATTTTACATATATATTTTTTCGCATCCC